CAGCAGATCCAGCTCCAACTCAGATGTCACTGTAGTGCCAAATCCACTATCCCATGTTCAGATGCTGTGACTCCTGTGTGACTAAGGTTTTGCAAGATATTTTTGCAGCTTATTTAGATAGCAGGTAAGGGAAGCACTATAAACATTAAAAACAAACAAACCTTTGACTTTAAAATAGAATTCCTTTAAAATTAAGGGCGTTACCCAATAGGTAACCTACATGTAAGTTAATTCACTATACAAAACGTTTTCCTACAAAGTTGAACTTAGTTCAGTCCCAACCTATTAAAACGACTCTTTCAGTCCTTATGCATCTCTTCCAAAGTAGCAAAGTGCTATGCAAAAATGTTATTACTGCAGCTGTAGTATTTTCAGCTTTTCTGAATACAGAATAACTGACTTTGACCTTGAACTGATACAACTATTAAAACATTAAATAAACTGCTTGAATGAGTATATCCTGGGTGACAAGAGTTTAGAGAAAGCAGCAGAAGTGCATAGAGAAGGAAGTTTTGTTTGTTTTTCTTAAAGTTTTTTTTGGGGGGGGTTAGATTTACTTATTTTGTAATGGAGGTACTGGGGATTGAACCCAGGAGCTCACGCATGCTAAGCACGTGCTCTACCACTGAGCTATAGCCTCCCCGCCTTGTTTGGTTTTGTTTGTAATGTCTAAGAGGACTGTCACCACTTTCTGTGGTTGTGATAATAAAACAACAGGTTTTTCCTCATCCTATTCTTTGCTCTAAAAGCCATAATCAGCCAGAGTTGCCCAATTAACTACAGGATCGGTAAAAAAAATCTCAGGAATATAATCTGCTGCTTATAGTCTTATCACTCCTTTTCTTTCCTTTTGTTTTTTTTTTTTTGTTTTGTTTTTAATGGAGGTACTGGGGATTGAACTCAGGACCTCATGCATGCTAAGCACGCGTTCTACCACTGCGCTATTTCCCTCCCCCTTCACTTTTCTTTATGTACGTTTTAACTGAACAGAATAAGTTTTGGATAGAATTCCAAAACTACATATATGATTCTAGTATTTTTATGTTTACAGGCAAATGTGTTGCTTCAGAGTAGTTAAGAGATTCCAACTGGGGGGAGGGTATAGCTCAATTGGTAGAGCGCATGCTTAGCACGCACAAGATCCTGGGTTCAGTCCCCAGTACCTCCATCAAGTAAATAAATAAACCTAATTACCACCTGCCTCAAAAAAAAAAAAGAAATTCCAACTGAATAGTTTCACATCTTCCCATGATCTGTACTCCTCTGCACTCCTCTGCCTCTTCTCCCAAGTAAAGGCACCTGCGATTCCTTACAGTCCACACAAGGTTACTCTTCACACATCAGCACAACACGATTCCTTCCCTCAGGACATCACTACAAGTCTTCTCGATGGAAAAAAGGGTGTGAGAAAGGACAAAGGATCAAACCACAGTTTAAGAACAACAAAAAAAAGGGAAAGTCCCACAAAAGGACCAGAGAAAGTGGAAACAGGAGCTCAGTTACATCAGTGGCCATAACCATGTTCCTGTTTTCCTCCTGCATTTCTTCATCCTTTCCCTGTGGTTCCTCTTTTCAGGCAGATGGACAGTGGCCAGCTCTGCATGCCGGAAGCAGAAACTCAAAAATCTCAGCATACCCTGAATGAGCCACAGCCAGTTACACATCATCTGATTATCAGGCCCCAATATACACAAAGACCAGACAGAACAGAGACTGCAAATGAAAAAGAACACCAGAATGTCAGTCAGAAAACCCGAATTTAAATCCCCGTATGCTGCATGATTTCCAACAAGCGAACTTTCCTGAGGTTCACTTTTATGATCTACAAACAGGGACTACATACCAACAATCTAAGTATTTCACCACATCGCTGTGAAAATCTAAGTGAGAAAAATATTACACACCTGAGGCAAGTCACTTTTAAAATCACTCTAATGTTGTAAAGGGTAATAAGATTCTTAACTGAAGACCCTCTCTGCAGTCACATACAGTACCCATATTCTGCTTCTGCCTCTCTTAGGAGTTACAATGAAATAAGCATGATCCAGGCAAATTTAAGTGGTTTTTCAGTCACTGAATGTGTTTATCTGAAATAAACACTGTATTATCACCTAACAAAAAAATTTTAGCTTAAGCATAAAGCATATTTATTCACATACAAGGCTCTCACCACCAACAAAATACGTCTATCAAATTTTAGTTCCAATGGTGTGCTAAGTAACCTACATCTTCTCATTTAACATCTTACCTATACCCAATCCAGCTCAGTACAAAAAGCATGGGGCCTGAAGTCTGAATGACTCAAGTTTGAATCCCAGCTAGGTTATCCTAAGTGGTCAGTAGGCCTTGGCCAAGTCAGAGCTGAAATATCCTCAAATGAAAAACAGGAATAATACTACCCACTTCACAGCATTAAAATTATTGTGCTCATGTCTGTATTGAGCCTAATCTGATGCTGAGCACAACGCAGTTGCTCAATGTATGGTGGCTGGTAATTTGACTGCCTTCCCCCAAAGTGAGGATCTTTGATTTTTTAAAAGAATGCTTAAATTACACAGTCACACAAGATTACTCACACCTCAGCCAAGCCAAGAAGCACAAAGAAAGGGATTCCCTAAGATCATTCACACATACTGAAACTGTGCCCTAAAATTAATGCGAGCATAAGATCCAACATAAAGAGCTTAAAATCCATCCTTCCTTCTCCTGGCCCCTTATCACGTGATATGAAGAGTCAGGTGATTTAAAACATGAACCACTATTCCCTTAAGCCACTGGACTCTTGAGGAAGGAGGTGGCTGTTTTCTAACGGCCTCCCCATTAGAAGCCACTGTTTTAAGACCTGGGCTGACTGTCGTCCCTTCCTTGAGAAGGGTGGTTAAAAACAGGAAGACAGGAGAGAAGAGGATTTAGCTTAACTTGGAAAGCTAAATTCACTAAGGAAAGCGGATCAAGGACAACTGAGGACTTTATCTTCTTCATGACTTCACCTTAAGCTTACACCCCACCTATATACATACTTTGGTCAGTTTTTGTACAGCTTCATTAATGTTCCCTCAAGCTAGTGCTTTTGCTGCTCTAGAGTTCATGACTATATTCAAAGTTTATCCATGATGAAGTTTTAACATACACATACACATTTATACAATGGAATACTACTCAGCCATAAAAAATAATAAAATAATGACATTTGCAGCAACATGGATGGGCCTGGAGATGATCATACTAAGCGAAGTAAGCCAGAAAGAGAAAGAAAAATACCATATGATATCACTTATATGTGGAATCTAAAAAAAAAAAGACAAATGAACTTATTTATAAAACAGAAACAGACTCACAAATATAGAAAACAAACATGGTCACAGGGGGAGAGAAAGGGGTGGGAAGGGATAAACTAGGAGCTCGAGATTTGCAGATACTAACTACTATCTACAAAACAGATAAACAAGTTTCTACAGTACAGCACAGGGAACGATATTCAGTATCTTGTAGTAACCTGTAATGAAAAAGAACATAAAAACGAATATATGTGTGTATATGTAAACTGAACTATTATGCTGTACGCCAGAAACTGACACATTGTAAACTGACCATACTTCAACAAAAAAGAAGTAAAATAAAATACATACACATATGAGTGTATGTACGTAGACTATATATAAGTGAAAATCTCGTTAAAGACTGAGGCTGAGGTTTAATCAGGCCTTTTTTATCTTCCAGCAATGTTAAGCAGTTGTCACCTTTTTTTCCTTCTGTGGCTATATATTAAGACATGTGTCCTCATCCAACAAGGAGGCATCAATACGTAAAATAGGCTTCACATTATATTCTCCCCACAAACTGTTCACATTCAGATCTTTCCTCATTGCCTAGGCTCAGCCTTTTGGGGAGTCTGAGAGCCACTGATAACAGCTGTCAAAACAGACAGTCTGACACGCATAGAAGAACTATCGGGGAGAGTCAGAGAGAGAGTGAGTGAGCGTGTGTGTGTGTGTGTGTGTGTGTCCCCAAACTCACAAAATCAGACACTGATGGTGGACGAAGGTGGAGAAGGGTGGCCTGGAGTAGAGCTGGATACAAAGAAAAGAGAAAATGGAAAAGAACCCTAAGAGTAGGAAGAGTCTACCATTTACCACGCTGAGGAGGGGAAGAGGGACTGAAGAATCCATTGGGGTAAAACTACAACATTAAAGAGAAAACAAAGAGATTTCACCAAACTGAGGCGTTAGAGTCAACCCTCCCTCCTGCTCCAATTCCATGTTTTTTTGTTTTTTTCCAGGAAGTCACAAAATAATTCTTTTTCAACAGAGGGATAATATTAACAAAAGAAAATAAAGGAAACCTATGCTAAAAATGTAACCTACCTACACTGAAGAGTCTGAAAACGGAAATAGTTCTTATCCCTTTTTGTAATGGGTTTCAAAACAGGAGGCCCAGGGCGAGGGATCTGTGAAAGGGAGCGAAGCAGCCAAACTTTTTCGGAATATGGAGTCTTTTGACTACATTCTTGTTTTTAATTGACCTTTTCGTGGTCAGCTGGCAGATTCTTAGCTCAGTGCAGCATCTGACTGGGGAAGTCCGAATCTGATGAGTGGTCCATATGCCAGACAACTGAAAAGACGAAGCCAACGCAAGACTGATGCAGAACCAGCACTTGCTTTGGGGTCGCACTCTGATACCCCATGGAGCGGCTGAAACTCCAGCGAGGTTTTAATCCACTGAAAACAGTGCAACGGAAGAGAGAACACAGCACAGTTCAAGGGAGAGCCGAAGTTTAGCCAGACCAGGCAGCTCGCCAGAGAAGTGTGTAAGCAGGCTGGAGGTGGAAAACAGTGGACACAGAGAAAGGGGCTAACTCAGAAAACAACTATCTACAGAGGGTATGCTTTCCTCCTCGGGTGGCTGCACCAGGAGGAAATCCTTTTACACCCAGAAACGGCGCTCCTCGCCCACGCGCCCCGCGCCGCCCACCCAGCGCCCGGTGTCCAGCGCACACTTACTTTCGTCCGGCCATTGATTTTGTAGTTGCCCAGCTTCCCGTTACAGTGGCGGATCAGGTCGTCCATGCTGCTCATGAGCAGCCCGATGGTTTCGCAGCCGGGCTCCTTGCCCTCGATCCAGGTGATCTTATCGCCTCGGATGTCCTTGGACGAGTCGCTCTTCTGGCTGACCAGCTGCCCGTCCGTGAACTTGCCCGTGTCGTGCAGGGCGCGCACCTCGTCGCCGATCTGCTGCCCGGTCTCCTTGCCCAAGAAGTCGTCCACCACGCAGATGCCGTGCTTGTTCATGCACGGCACGATGTACTCCAGCGCCAGCTT